TGTAAATATCAACTGAAATAAATGTAAACCAACAATTTAATGAAAATGAACATTCTGACTACATTCAAATAAAGAACTACACAGTCCTCACTGAGACTCGTACTTAACAACACAACTGATACTACATCCCAGTATGTGAATAGATCCATCCTTCATTTAATAACTAAAACATACCTTTTTTTTGTTTGGGTTTACTTTCATTTTTATTGATTATCTAAGTTGTTTGTCAATGCGTATGATCATTCACCCCTTAAGGACCAAACTTCTGGAATAAAAAGGAATCATGAAATGTCACACATGTCATGTGTCCTTAAGGGGTTAAAGCCAATGACGTGTTGATCTGGATTTGATGATTTAATTTTTATTATTTTTGTTTCGCTAGGTTTAACATGACATGTCCCAAAAAATTTCATATTTTGTCAACTATTTATTGAAGAAACGATTTTAAAGGAAAAGGTCATTTAGACAGAGATTCTCTTTTATATACTGAATTCACATTCAACAGCAAAAATTAGTATCATTTCCTTTATTCACTTCATCTTGCAGGAATTTTGATGTATACTCCACTCAGCAAATAATATGCTCTAAATAATCCTGTGATCAAAGTTTCAGTTAATATCTGAAATAAAACATAATGCAACGCTGTTCTAACAGTTGCTACCACCTCACAGATAAAAACATACTTCCAATCCCTGCCGGGACGTGGGCATCTGCTCAGGCCCCAAACCAGCTTCAAACTCCTGTGCGTACACAGAACTCACATCCCCAGGGGTATCTCGACCGTATACACCACACTCCAGAACCAGACCAGTGGGGAAGTGGTGATCCGATTTAAGGACCACTGGGAGAGGGACACGGGGGAGTCCCTTTCCACACAGGAATGGGACAAGATCTACACCCTCACACACAAATGCTCTATCAGTTCGAAGTTCCAAGAACTGAACTACAAAATATTAACTCGATGGTACAGAACACCCGACACCCTACACCGCATGCATGAGAACACACCGGACACATGCTAGAGATGCGGCACACACCTAGGCACATACTTCCACATGTGGTGGACATGCCCCGTAATTGCCCCATATTAGGAGAAAGTCAGGGGGAAGATACAAGGAGTCACAGGATCAGATCTGCCTCTCAAACCCCTAACGATGCTACTACACCACACACCCACCCCCGTAAAGGCATACAAGAAGTCCCTAATACTACCACTACTCAATGCAGCCAAGTCCCTTATCCCCGTTATTTGGAAACAGAAGGGAGCACCCACCCTCCAGCAATGGGTGACAAGGGTGGAAGAAATACACTCAATGGAAACTTTAATGGCAGATCTCCATGGGAGACAGGAGCAGTGTGCATTGACCTGGTACCCATGGGCTTCTTACCTAGCCAAGAGACTAGCGACCCGGAACACAACGCCCCAGGGGCCCACTGAAGCCCGGAGCTCACATATCTAAACACCCCACCCAACCCTTTCCAACTGTGTCGATATCCCCCACCCCTCCCTACCACCCGTTCGGACCTCAGACTGATTCCCTGGCGACCAACACCGACCGTAGAAGGAATACATACTCATGTGGACAGACTCACAGTAGGGACACGACCCGCCCTGGATAGGACGGGGAGCTCCCAACAATTGGATACAACTAGACAGATACTCGCTACCCACACCTATCACACCGAAACAAGACAGCACACCAGCTTGAGAGTCGTACGCCCAGATCCCTGCTTAAACAGTAGTTAGGGAGATATAGCGGCAACACAAAATAGCCTCTGGAATGGCAGCCAGACTAAGCCTGAAACAACCGCATAGTCTCCCACACCGGTAATCCACCGCTCCACGGTACTGACAGAAGCTGGACATATCCCCCATGACAGACAAACCCGGCCTACCGATTGACTTCCAGCAATAGGCTCCCTACAACCCTCTATGCCTTAGCCCGTAGGCCCCACAACAGAGAACTTACTGTGCAAAAGCCAAAGGACCCCGAACTTTGAAGCATAGACTCCTAAGAGGCTCCCTATGACTGAAAATTGCATTCCGCAACCGCCACTGCAGTACACTAGACCCTGGTATTAAAAGGGCACATGATAAATAACAAGTTTGTGGCAACAACTAAACGCACGAGTGGAGTACTAATGCCTAGCCTCTTACCACTGCTGACTGGGGCACAACCGGGAACACTACAGTGGGGAGACGACCAAAAATCCCCAACACAGCAGAGGTCAGGCTTTACCCTCTCTAGCTACATGACGAGGCTATGGCTGCAGACCTGAACACTAGCTGGTACAATGGCTAGAGCCAACTCTTTGAATGGTGTGGGTTAGCAGCACAGTTCCCCTTCCCCTTTCCCCCTTTTTATGCATTATTCAAATGTTGATACTGATACAGATACAATGTACAACAACCGTTTCTTCGTATGAAACAGATACTAAATAAAGATTGTCAAAAAAAACAAAACATAATGAATTAGAAAAGGGGAGATTTTGGAGGGATATTGTACTCATTAAAAATACTAGCGGACTCAGCATTTATATCCACCCAATAGCAGAATCTGAAAATCCTACATAGAAAATACTATGTTGAGCATAGATGCCTCTTAAAAAGCTACAACATGGACTATAATTATTTTGACCTATCACTGCCACCCAGATTGGATGGAATCAGCCTCGATAATTTAAGTATTTATTCCGTATTATTAATTCTGTTGAAGACAGGCATTGTTTGAGAGCAAGGCAAGCCATCTTTTGTCATACTGCCTTTTAGGAGGTTTAACTAACAACTGGGGTTATTGCTTAAATATTCCTGGCAACAAAACCACTAAACTGTACTTCTCATGATTCTTAGAGTGCCAGTTTGAGTATATACATATTACTCAATGCTGATGGTATTATTATAAATTGCTGGCATTGAGTCACATAAGCGTTAACTTCATTTGAATAATATTTGTTTGTGTATTTCTGTTTAATATTAAAAAGAATGGGCATATAAATGTCCAGTTGGATCTTTAAAATGTGTATTCAAATGTTTATGAACACAAAATGATCACTTGGGTTTTAGAGAGAAATATTGTGCTATGGGAGGGGTCTATGAATCTGTAGAATTAATGATTTGCAAAGCTCATAGAATCTTTATAAAGTGAGAGTTTTTAACTAATAGCCTATTTTATGTAATGTAGTGCTAGCTTATATTTGTTAGTTTGATTCTTTGTTATTCACCACAGCTTAGTAATCAACAGATACATAACAGCGAGTGATTGATTTTGTTTGTATCGTTTTATTCAACAAATCCATTTTTGTTTCATATACCGCACTTACCATCTGAGCTCGAAGATACATCTGGGCCTGGCTTGCACTTATGCTTGGAGATGTGCTTCCCAACAGCATGGTCTTCTGGGTGATACTGCTACTGGTAGTATTGGCTGCCTGCGATCGACTCATAACGTGAGAAGGTGGAGGTGAAGCAGAGAGATTCACCTAAAAAATCATATTAAAGTCTTTACAATAAGCGCAGGATACTGGCAATTTACGTCCATAAATGAAAAAGAGATAACATTGTCAAGTTTGGCTGCTCTTTTATATATAGGGAGTTTCCCGGTTATAACAATGCTTTTATGTTTTGCAGGAATGTAAATATTAGTGAGCTGATACTTTATAAGTCTATTTACAAATCTGCCTCTCTCAGATATATACAATAAAAATGCAAAATCACCAAAGTGGTACAATCCGTATGTGGTACTCTTACACCTGTGTGGGTTCCCCTTAACCCACACCAACAAATATTTAACAACAAATTTTTTTATAAAAGGTGGAGTATCTTACATCAGATTTTTTCTCTTTATTTAAGATTATAACTACCAAGGACTATCTACCCTTTCCAATCTGAAATTTTATGAAATCTGATGTAAGATACTCCACCTTTTATATATCTCTCAGTTATATAACTATTGGAATACAAAAATGATGTAAAAATGTATATATTTATACAAACATGCAACTGACTGAATATTGCAATTTTTGTGGTTATTAAGTCTTCCATATATATATATACAAATGACACATTATAGTGAAGCTCAGTTTTTACATGTTAAATGTTATATTTACAAATACATATATTTTCATTTAAAAAAATATAAAGCATTTGATTAATCTCGGTATACAGCAAATAAAAATCAATTTACAGAGTTTCCAGATTAGTTACCGTATGTAAGGAAACATGACCTGCAGGACTTACAGAGGTTTGGGAGACATTTGATTGCTGTGAAGCACTTCCTGGTGAGGCAGATCTTCTATCCCCAGATACACTTGACTGAAAAAGAGAGGAAATTATGGATCTTAGATCGATCGCTAAAGGCATTAAAAAGGAACTTTTCAAAAAAGTAAATTGCATTCAAAATCAATAATGCCGACAATGGTCTGTTCAAAAAACAAGTCTGAAAAATGTGAATTCTACCTAATATTGCAGAAGATGGCATTTTGCAAAAACTAAATACGAATAAAATAAAAGATGTGCTATAATATTTACTCTTTCACTGCCTTAGGAGAGGTGCCCAATAAGTGACTCCTACCTCTATTCCACACCATTAGGGAAAAATGCTGAAGGACACCACAATAATTAAAATTGAAATGGCAATTTTCATTTTACAATTTCCTTCATTGCAGTGTGATGGTTGCCATAAAAAACTAACCAATCACAGGGCAATATTGGGAAATAATGTGATTAAGCATTAAAGGACCACTATAATGCCAGGAAAACATACTAGTTTTCCTGGCACTATAGTGCCCTAAGGGTGCCCCCACCCTCAGGGTCCCCCTCCCGCCGGGCTGGATGGAGAGGAAGGGGTTAAACTTACCTCTTTCTCCAGCGCCGGGCGGGGAGCTCTCCTCCTCTTCGGCTGAATGCACATGCGTGGCAAGAGCTGCGCGCGCATTCAGTCAGTCCATAGGAAAGCATTCACAGTGAGAAGCATGCAAGCTCCTCTAGCAGCTGTCAAGAGACAGCCACTAGAGGCTGGATTAACCCTAACATAAACATAGCAGTTTCTCTGAAACTGCTATGTTTATAAAAAAGGGTTAACCCTAGCTGGACCTGGCACCTATTTTATTAGGGAATAATGATGTGCTTGGGACATAAATCTTACATCAAAATATTAAATAAGGATTTCTTTAACACTATATCAATAGACAGGGATTGCTGGCTATATTCATAGATTATCAATACATTTAAGAATGCCTCTCCACTATGATCACAGTAATTGTTCCAAAATATAAAATAAAGAAAGTAAAAGATAGGTGCATTACATTAACATATCACTATCATTCTTGCTTTGTTGGATATATTCTGGCAATTTATGGCACATTGGGATTTTATAACTGATTTTCTGTGCATTTAAATTATCAGTGAATCTGAAGAGAGAAAATAATTTCCTATAACACAGATTGGGAATTTTATTGGCAAATATAATTAAAAGAATTACAATAGTAGCATACATATGATGACTGTTTTAACCACTCCATGAAGCTGTTGCCATAGTCAGCAATGTGATTATAGTGTAATATCAGACTTACAATGACTTACCGCTTCCAAAACCAGTAATAAGGATGGTTTACCTGCTGAACAGAAGCTAGGCTCTGGAGTTGAGCGCTGCTTAAGTGCTGTTGCTGTAGCGCAGTAGTCTGTAGCATAAGATGTTGTTGTTGTGCAGCATACATCTGCTGAAGATATTGTGCTGCTGAGCTCGGAGGGCGATTTAAAGCCTGTTGGATAACCTATGGCATGTTACGTGTTAGTTCCAAGTTACTTTAAAAAAATTAAAATAAAATCTTTATTTTGAAAAGGCAATGAGGATAAAACAGCATATAAAACAAACAATATAAGAAAATAAAACATTGCCCGCAAGTTTGATATTGCACAAAATGAGGTACAAAACACAGCAGCATCAAGTTCCCAGGCATAAATGTACACTCTAAACAGGAATACTAAACATTTTTAAATTACTATGACTATAAAAGCCCAACTTCTTATTTTACAACACTAGAACGTTAACAGGCTCTATGTGCCTACTTATAAGCATTGATTCACTAGCTCCTAAATGGCTGTGTCAACTCCGTACCTATGAGGGACTGACAACAGACTGTGGACTCCAAGCTAAAACTAGACCATAGGCCAAATGAAAGCTTATATGTGAATAGGCTTAGAGGTCTCTTCCATTTTAAAGGGACACTATAGTCTCTGAAACAACGCTAGCTTAATGAAGCAGTTTTTGTGTATAGAGCATGCCCCTGCAGTCTCACTGCTCAATCCTCTTCCATGTAGGCGTTAAATCACTTTTGTTTCTGTTTACGCAGCATAGTCACACCTCTCTTTGCTGTGACTCACACAGCCTGCATGAAAAAAAATGGTTTGATTTTTAATCAGACATAATTTACTTAAAGTTTTTATTCTCCTGCTAAGTAAATTGAACTTTAATTGCACAAAAGAGGCTCCCACATTGTCTAGCTCCTAAATGGCAGAGAATTGAGCAGTGAGAATGCAGGGACGTGAACTATACACCAAAACTTCTTCATTAAGCTAAAGACTATAGTGTTCATTTAACATATTGTATATAGTAGATAGTGCATAAATAAACATAAAGTACAAATATTTTTTATCCTAAAAGTTTTTTATATATTCACCTCCTTTGACAGGTTAGTGACTAAAGCCCAAATATTTTATTTTAAATAGGGATAAGATAACATCATATGCAGCAATCTGAACAGTTGTGTATAAAGGACTGATTCATTAAGAATTTTTTGAAAACGTTGAACTACCTGTAACTTATCATTTCGAAATCAAGCAGTATATATCACAGTCATGTTTACAGCATACAGAACAGCTGCACGTATGTGCCCATTGCAAGCACTTTCAGTTTGTATTTCTGATATGCTAACAAACTGAAAGGTTCTAAAATAAAGCCTGCATCATAATACATATATTACTTGCTCTCTGTTTAATTGCTACAGCAATTCATTACCTCAACTTCTATCTGAAAGGAAGCACTATAACCACTACAGCATTCTAGAAAGTTTTGACTTCTTACTTTGGGGCACAGGCACTGCTGTCTGCAAAATGTTAATGGTTTAGCTAATTGGGTTAGGGTTCCTTGACATGTTCTCTTAAGTACTAATCTAATAAATATCTAGGAATCAATTTTATTTATTTACCCTTACAATTGATAATTTCACACAGGCTTTCCCATAATTTACTTATGATGTATACCACATCTATACTACTACTGTTAATGTAATTATGGTGTGTTGCAGTACATTTTGCTTGTTATATGTCATTATGCTTTTATTACGTTTCGAATAGATCCTCCCCGCCTCCAAAAGTTAGAAAAATATCACTGTGTGCAAAAATTACTGAAACACTAGTGACAGCTTATTAGGAAAAAATGTAGGTGCATAGCACACTCTAGTGGTGAGAGAAAGAATGGCTACTATGCTGCAGAAAATGCACATTATGATACTGACAATACATATTTTTAATGGAAACACATATTCGGCTTTCAACAATTGTCTTGTTCCTCTTCCAAACTATGCATAGATTCATACATCCCAAGCTTATTTATTTTAAACAATTCAAACTTGTTTTCTATCTCCTCCTACAAAGGCAGTGTATACACACTACATGGCCAAAAGCATGTGGACATCTGCTTGTAAAATATCTAATTCACTAAAAAGGGGAAGTTAAAATTAGTTTGTTTCCATTTATTGCTATAACTTTTTTTATCCCCAAGCCTTCTCTGTATGTCTTTGCCTATATATGTTGGACACTGCAAAGCAGTTCACATATCAGTACTAATTGATGCAAAGTATTTTAGTTATTAGAGTTAGTATTAGCAAACAGCATTAGGGTTATGGAATTCAAAATTGGAATTGGTAATTAAAAGCAATGCCACAGAGATTGTCCATTTTATCAGGTTCACTACAAGTATATTTTTGTTTATTGATTTTAGCATTAAGAATTAGGAATTTTTAAAAAAGTATAGATATTGCTGTAGTTTAGTACTCAGTGCAAGTATTATGGGTTGGGGTTCTGGGGAAAAACCAAACAGCCTGTCCCTGCTATCTGAGCATGGTAAATTACAGACAAAAGGCAGAGTTTATACTGCTTCATAATGCCACCTCTAGTGGCTGTCATTCAGACAGCCATTGAAGAGACTTTTTGGGATCATCCTGCAAAGATTGAAGTATCGATGTTCAGTGTCGATTGAGTACAGCGCAAGGAATTTATATTGGTACTATGGTAATGTAAGTTATGCATTAACAAGTTGGCAAAAAAGATGATGCCAGGGCTACCCCTATTTATGTCAAACCACTGTCAAACTAAAGTGGGATATTGTCCATATACTAGTGGCTGCAATGAGCTGCATTATTTGGCTTAGACTGCCCCTTTAACCTACAAATGGTAAAAAACTGCAATGATTTACATTCCGGAACTAAGTGGGACTGGCATACTACACCCACACCACTTCAATGAGATGAAGTGGTCTGGGTGACTACAGTGTCCCTTTAAGCAATTGTATTATTTTGATAATTAAATTAATCTTTTATTTATTCCAGATGACAACAGCTGCTAATACTCTAGCAGTAACCGCAAAGTACAGAATAAGAAGTGAACATTAACATGTTAGAAGTTGGCTTTCCTTCTGAGCACATTCTGTGTAAATTATATTTAAAATAAAGAGCGTTTTATGAAAGTGCAACAGCTTGGGGCAAGCAATGGTAAATCCTAAAAAGGGTAGGGAAGTGGTTATGGCATGTTCACATGTATGGAACATATCTGCAGATTCTTTTTTCTTCTTCAATGTCTTGTTTTTATTAAGATTGTTTAGCTTTAACAGAAAGAAGAAAAACATACAGCATTATAATCTGCGTAATACAGTGCAAGTGTGTGATACATTTTTACATAAATCGGTTGAATATTACAGAGTTATGCAACAGTACATATGGGATTCACTGCAATGTGATGAAGTTGCTCTTACAGTATCTGCAGAATCTTAAACAGATCACACTGCGACCGTGACAGTGTCTATGGAAATACCAAGGCTGTGTACATGATAATATAAACCTACCCACCTACTGTTGTGGCTGAAATACCCCAAACCATTATTTTTTTAACGGCAGTCACATACTTTTGGCCATGTCAAATTTATTCTTTTACTGTTTTCATTTGTTTCTGTTTTCTTAGGCACAGAAAGGATGTATTATTATTCCAGGAGTATATTTAATTCACATACCTGCACAGCATGGCGGTCTGAACTGCTGTACACGGAAATGGGGGGCGGATTGGTTGGAGACGAAGTAATTGTTGAGACAGGTGCTGAGCATGTTGTTGGAACCTGATCATTCTCCATGGTTCCTCAGTGTTCAGTGAGTCTTAGAGAAAAAAATGGAAATATTCAACTTTAGACATCATGCCAGGAGTACATTCCATTACAACCTAGAAAATGCTTTAAATATACTCCTTACTCTGGACTGGTCTATATATATATCGGAAAAAAAACCTTACTAAATTTCCATGCATTACATTTTATTCCACCACAAATAAATTATAATAAAAGCCAAACCCCAGAGCAGCACATTTGTTAATCGCAATCCTGCACTGTGTATAAATGTTTATTTGGAGTGGTCAGTGCTGAGCCCGCTTCTCATTACAATGTTGTGTAAGACTGACTGTTTAAAAAGAGTATCAGGAAAGTAGTGGCATGTATTGATCACAACAGATGTTTGTGAAGTACTCTTCCCTTCTAGGATGCCAAGGAGTTTCCATCTCAGAGTTAGGCTATGATGACAGAATTCATAGAGACAGGATCCAAGGCTAACACAGTTAGTGTAGTCATTATTATGCTAGGAAAGTGTCAGGATGCAAATGTGACACATACATAATAATCTACTTCAATGCTCATCAGAAGTAAAATCACCTGAGGAAAACTCATATCGGTGCTGTCATTTCGTGCAGGACTAGTTTAAACCCAACCATTTTCAACCAAGAGGAATAGTCACTCCCCAAATTAGCTAACTGAAAATGGCACTGTATCGTCCCAACTAAGACTCCTTTCCCAACCCATCTAAAACCTGTGTATTAATTTTAATATAACTTTAACATAACTTTCAGTCTATGTCTGCCAATGTAGTAAGTAGAATATTTGTGGCATAAAGGAACTCCTGGCTGTCAGCTGCCTATAACTTTAAAGTTTTCGGTCACACTTCAGTCAAGTGTGAGGACTGAAAAGGGTATCTTTGGTGATGTTAGGAGATCATATGGGTTCAGCTCTGTTGTTAGAACACTCTAAGCACCAGTCTTGGTGCATTTACACAACTTACAGTATTTAAAAAAAAAATTAAAAAAAAGATATATTTAAGGTGAATAGGCCATCAATGGGTGTGATTTTGCCTAAAGCTGTGTAGATTACTTCACATTAATCAACAGAGAATAATGAAAGTGTTGACAAGTTTCAATTTTTTTTTTAACAGTTCAGGAGTTTTTAATATGTTTTTTAAAACATGTTTCCAATTATATTACATATCTTTTAGCTTGGCACAAAATATTTCACGGAATGCAGCAACTGTCACTATGTACCATATAATATGGATTTCATTTAACAGTCAGCAAGTTGCTAACTATCATAGACAATACAGTTCACCAAAGCTACAGTCCCACTGGTTTGCCATCACAGCTAAGATTTTTTGGCTCATTAAGGCCATAAATTCTGCTGTGCCTTAGGTTTGCAATCACAATAAGAACACAATGAAATCAGCATGTGTTGCATGACCACCTGCAAGGCTTTATGACTGCGCGACAAGTGGTTAGAGGAGTCACTTATTAGTCTAGATACAGAAAAAAGATTTGATAGTGTCATCTGGCCACATCTTATCAGAGTCCTGAAGCTACGCTATTTTGGCCACACATTTGTCATTTTCATAAAAAATCTGTACCAAGTTAACACAACCTTTACAGGTGTAAACAGTGTCAGTACATCAGCTTTGCTTTCCTCCAATGGAAACAAGACTAAAAAGGTTATTCAGTGAAGTGAGAATACAAGGTGAACTCAAATAGAATTTCAAACTCAATGTAAAAATAGCCAAGCTGGAAACAGTCACTCTAGTGAAGGTGTTTCCCAATTGCTGTTCCGCGGAACCAACACCAATTGGGGTTCTGCCAAGAGTTTAAAAAATAAAAGGGCAGCGGGCAGCGAGGGAGCAGTGTTTTCCCTGATCAGCTCCCTGAGGGGCACAGCACTGATGCTGGAGACAGAATATGATGTCACTCCGGCTCCGGCATCACTAAGAGGTACACGAGGGAGCTGAGCAGGGAGATCACTGCTCCCTCGCCGCCCGCACACCAGCCATTCAGCAGCCCCACTGGACCCCAGGGACTGCACGCTCAGCACGCCAGCCGCTCCGCTGGAGCCCATACCAGCACTCCTAAAGGTAGGGGGGCTGGGCAGAGCAAAATGTAAAAAAAAATTTTTTTTAAAGATTTTGCACTCTTGTTATCAGGATTTGAAGAGAATATGGGTATTTGCAAGCAAGAGATTTTAATGCATTACTAATTGCTTTTAAGAACAGTAATTTTAAAATGTACCCACCCCTTTTTAGCGCACTGTTAATTGTATATTGCATTTTAATAATAGAAGTTGCTGATTTTATTCCTTTTTATTACTCTGCTTTAAACAGCATGCTCAGATACTGCCTGTGGGAAATAAGGTGTTTATTTTTTCTTTATGGTCATTCATTGAAACTGGGATTTGTTTAAAATTCACCTGTAAATTTAAAATTTTAGGTCATAATAGTCAAGCTGGAGAAACTGCACCCAGAGTTTGCTAGATATTTTCCAATTATGTGATTTTGTTGTATTTTTTATGTTTCTCTGCGCTGGTTTGGTACTCCACTACCACCAACATCATCATCAACAGGGGGCTGGGGGAGGGGCCTAATACACAAGCGCAACGAGTGCCACAAGCACATTAGGCCCTCCCCATAGGAAATCATTGAATCACTGCTTTCCCATATGGGATTTAACTGACGCTGGATGTCCTCATGAACAGGGGACCTAGAGACTGGTAAATTTCTGGAAGTGTCTTTCGTGGCTGTCTGGTTGACAGGAATTAGAGGCTGTCTAATCACTGCAACGTAAGCATTGTAGTGTCTCTAAAACTGCAATGTTTTACATTGCAGGACTAAGGGAGACAGAGACGCTGTACCCAGACCACTTTAATGAGATGAAGTGGTCTGGGTGCCTATAGTGTCCTTTTAAACAAAAACCCACAATTTTATTTACATATTGCAACATTTTAAGTCACAATGAATAAATGCATTTACATACAAAATATAATGTTGTATCTCTAAAATCACAATACAATATTGTAAATATGCAATAATGTGATTCAAGATAAAATGATAACTTGTGTTTTAGTTATCTTTGACTTTTGACAGATTAGTTTTTAAAAATGTGTTTCAAGTCCTTTCCTAACATTATAAATAGTCTCATTAATTCTTTTATGAAGGAGTCTTGTTGTGCAGCCGACACATTGCAGGCCCCAAAGACATCTTAACAGGTAAATAGGTATTTGTTCTTTTATCTCAAATTCCTTGCCTGTAACCAACGATTTCAATTTTCCTACTTTTTTCTCTTCTTTTTAAAAAGATTTCTGTGTTCATATGTATATGATTGCTGATGTTTAGCAAACAGTCTTTTCTATTTATACTTTCGTTATTAAGGGATTTCCTTGCTAATAATATTACTTCTGTTCACCCCTTTTTTTTACCATTATTATTATTATTACTACCATCTCTCTGCTTGGACTCTGTCCCAGCCTTTCAATGTCAAAATGTAGAATATGCTACATGGATGCCTCGTTGTATCTTGATAATTTCAGTAAATAGAGAATTATATATAAAAAAATAATAATAATAATAATAATAATAATTAACCAAATTTGTTTTAGAACTTTGTGCACTCAGAAATGTGAATAACACTGTTGTTGTTTAGGGGTTAAATATGTAATTAAAATAATAAAACAAGAATGCCTCTGGGAGGCTCATAAACATGGAATAACAGTTCAGAAATATTAATTTTGGATCCTAAAGTGGAACAGCTGTTGCTGCCCTCAACGTCTCTCCCTGCAGAAGCTGGAAGCATCCATTGCTATGCACAAGCAGTACCATTTGTGACAACACACACAGCTCTTGGAACAGGAAGAATTTTTTTATTAATTTGAACAATAGTTCCAGAGCTAACATTTTAAACTGGGGGGGGGGAGGGAGACTGGCAACTACGGCCTTTGTATAACCCAGTGTGGTACACACCGCGGTCACAAGGTTTGCAGCTGCGACCAGGTTCGTCACTCCAGGGGGCCTGGCCACCCTGCGGACCCCTGCGACCAGGTACCTGCCGCCATCTTTTGCGGCCCCGGCGGCAAACATCCGGGGCCGCCGTACAAGGGGTCCATCGGATTGTCAGGGGGCCTGGTCAGCGCTGACATCACTGCTGGGGGGAAGTGACTGCCCTGGTCACTCCTCCCAGCATACACAGAGCCCACGTGGGATGAAGGAGGAGGGAGTGGGAACTCTGACTTCCATCAACCTGAGCCACCACTGGACCCCAGGGAATGTCACCCCCCTGCACCTAAAAGATAGGAAACAGGAGGGTGACTAAAAATGTGTGTGTGTGTTTTTTTTTGTATGTGTCTGTGTTTGTGTGTGTCTGTCTGTATGTGTCTTTGTATGTATGTGTGTCTTGTTTGTGTGTCTGTCTATGTATGTATGTATGTATGCATGTGTCTTTGTATGTAAGTGTGTCTTGTGTGTGTGTGGGTCTGTATGTGTCTGTATGTATGTCTGTCTGTAGGTGTCTGTCTGTGTGTGACGGTCTGTATGTATGTGTCTGTATGTGTCGGACTGTATGTATGTATGTGTCTGATTGTATGTGTGTGTATGTGTCTTTGTATGTATGTGTCTTATGTGTGTATCTGTTTGTCTGTATGTGTGTATGTGTCTTTGTATGTATGTGTGTGACTGTCTGTATGTATGTGTCTGTCTGTGTGTCTGTCTGTATGTGTCTTAGTATGTGTGTGTGCCTGTCTGTGTGCAAGGCCGGCCTTAGGGGTGTGCGAGGTGTGCGGCCGCACAGGGCGCCATGAAGCGGGGGCGCCATGCGGCCGCACAGGGCGCCATGAAGCAGGGGGCACCATGCGGCCGCACAGGATAAAAAAAATAATTTTCGGCTGGGACGGGGCTTACCTGCGGTGGGGGCGTAGCTAAAGTGCTGTGTAACTGCTGCAGGGGAAGCAGGAAGGAGTCCTTGCTTCCCCCAACAACCAGAATCCAGGAGCTACACTGCCTGTCTGCCTCCACAAGGAACAGAGGTAACTATG